TCGTTTTTGAAAGGTTTATTTGATATTCATCCTCACTAGTACAATAAAACCCATCGGTCGAAAATATAATAAAATGGCTAGAAATGGAAAGGTAAAATTTATAGTTGTGAATTTGAGATATAAACTTTGTTCATTGTTAAATATAATATGCGGATCAAAAATAGTATAGTGTGGTACGCGCTTTCTAGTTGTTTGATATTCTGGATAACCAATTTTGACATTACGTGGTTTCCCTCGGCAATACACATGAGATATTGCGTAATCAACCCGCCCAGATGCTTCTTCACCAAAGATGTCTTTTTGTAATGAAATATAAAGTTTTTCTTCTTTGGTATACCTTCGAGCAATTGCTAGGATTGATGAAATAATTCACAACGAGTCGCCTCATTGGCATCAGTCATCGTCTCAATATTTGATAAAATAAGTACTATGTCGTTTACGCAATGATTGAGTGCTTCATCAGTATCATCGATTTTTTCGAAAACTATACAGTGGAAAAAATGTTAGAATATAACCGATGCTCGATCGTGACATTTTGTCACGGTTTTTGCCAAGAAAAATAAAACTCCTCACCTGGAATGAATTGCTTGATGCACGTAATCTCCTCCCCATTCACTTTGTATTTTCTTAAAACTACTTTCAATTCCTCCACCGTTTTATATGTCGAGAACTTCTCAGTTTTTGTTCTGATATCTCATCGATAATAGTTGCCGGACCCACTTTAAACCCACAATCTTTGAGATCTTGTTTGCTTAACTTTAGAAAGGCACGGCCAGAAATTTCTTGTTGTCGATAAAATCTTAGTTAAGCTTCAGATTCCGTCTTTGTAAATAATCGGTAAGCTCCTCTGTATCTAGGTCCTTCACAACGTGCGAGTTGACCTTTCTTGGGGTAATTGATCATAAAATATTTATTTCTGATTGCAGGATCTGAACAGATTCGATTCGCAAATATTTCCTCAACTATTCGGATCCACTTTAAAGAACTCTTCGATAGGTACATGGCCGAAAGAGATCTAACTTTTGATGAACATAGGCCGATCTTTACATTGTAATTTGTAGCATTAAAAAAAAAATATTGTTATTAAAGAAATACTTAAATTCGTGAGAAAATAAAGTGGCTCTTTTGTTCATCGTTTTGAAACTCCAATTTCGAAACTCTATTAATAGGGACAAAAAATGCCATCCTCCAAAGTAAAATAAAATTAAACATAACCTTCTTTGTTCCGTAAGTGCTAGTGCTCGGAGCATACGTTACAAGATTACGCGTCCCGCTTATTAGGATAACAAAAAAAAAATATATTGCATCCAACTTTCTTTCTGACACTTTTGGTATCAGGCTTACTTGTCCTACAAGAGGGACAGCGTCCATACACTCACCTCATATTAGGATAATCATGAATGAACACGACATCCAGCGTTCGCCTTTGCTGAACCAATTAGCTTGGCTTCGACTACTTGCCCTACATAGAAGGTTCATACACCCTCTTCTATTAGGATAACCATGATCTCGGTGCATGGCATCCAGCGTTCGCCTAGACTACTTGCCCTACATTAGAAGGGGGATGGTGTCTTTGGATAACATAATTTGAGGTCCGTAATTGAATAGGTGATCTGAATTATTTTGAATTATTTCACGTGCAAATTTCATGTGATGAATGGTAGGTGATAAAGTACCCATAGTCGCGTAGTCGCGTCCCTTTTTTGTAATGAAGAAACATATTATGAAGGACTTGAAACGTCTTAGCCGAACCATAGTAAGTTTCAAAAGTGTAGCTTATGTACAGATAACGATATTAACATATTGATATACTCAGAAAAACACCAATAAAAGACGGCAATCCGCGATCAATCAACTACAGACACAAGCCGTGGTCATCTCTTCCGAAGAATATTTTGAACGTTCACGGGAAGCTCGTTCCATTGTTGCACGCGGTTTCTTGCAAAATGAAGATGGCCAAGCTTCACATGTTAACCAAGAAAATGATAAGGTTGAAAAGGCACAATATTATGGCAATTAACTTTCTCTTCTTCTAATCATATGAACTTAATTAAACACAGTAAATTTATTTGTTTCTTTTTTATTTAGGATTCAGCTTTCTCGGAAAATGATTCAGGCTCCAATAAAAAAGGAAACACGTGTAAGCTTCAATTACGCATGTAATTTGTTGTTATAAACTATTACCATTTATCATTCATTAGTTCAAGTAGAATTGAAGATACCGAGAAGAATCCGCTTTTATCACCTAGAAAGAAAATTTTGAACCAAGAGAACAACCTTCAGGTAATTACAGTTACATTAAAGCTTCTTGTAAGTCAGATATATAAATTAACAAAAAAATATCCATATAAATCTAGAAAAAAAACGGCAAAGAAAGTAATTATGAAAGCGAAGATGAGTCTTGTGAAATAGGGAAAAGTGAAAGGGTTAAAGAGGTTGTCGAAAATGCCGGAGATCATGGGTCAAGCGATTACGAAAGTGGTGATGAGTCTCCTTGCGAAACAGTGAAGAGGAATCAAATAAATCGAACAATGATTTCTATCATGAAGAAATA